ACACAGGGACATAAAAAGCCATCATTTACGTCTAACCGTATTCAGGAAATACCAACATACACAGGGACATAAAAAGCCATCATTTACGTCTAACCGTATTCAGGAACTACCAACAAACACAGGGACATAAAAAGCCATCATTTATGTCTAACTGCATTCAGGAACTACCAACAAACACAGGGATATAAAAAGCCAAAACCAAACTAATAAAGTCTACACTAAAGCAAAAATAAGAATTTTTTAAGATTATCTTTTAACCCTTCTAACACGGCTGGGTGGATTCCACCCAGCCTGTATTCCCAAAAGTAACCATAAAGTACTTATACTGTAACTTTTTAAAATGTACATGCATCTTCACAAAATTTTGCAGATTATCAGTAAACATTACAAGGCATTTGTGCACAAAGTATCAGATCTTTTAATTAAGTTTAATATTTTTTGATTAATTATTTGCTCATGCATTTTTATTTTTGAATATTGACTATCCAACATGTGAAGTAATTTTGATTTTACCTAACCACCTGGCCATGCCAGGTCAAGATAGGAGGTTCTTATCTTATATTCTAGTTTGTCAATATCAGTAATTTGAGTTCCTAATTTGTAAGAAACTATAGATTTTTATATTTGGACATCATAAACATCTAATTTGAACCAATGCTTCATTCAACATACCACGTGACACACAAAAATCGGCATTAAGGATTTTTTTTAATATTAATTTTAAATTAAAAAATTAACTAATGTATAATACTAAAATTTGAATTATAATTTACAATTTGATACCAATAGATAGTTCAATAAAATTTTGAATGTAAGTACAAACGTGATAACATGGCATTTGATCCATGACCACAGGAAGACTCGTCTCGGTAGGGTTAAAGAGAAGATGACTAATTACTTACTAAATCTATTCTATTCCATTAAATGTGAACAAAATTTACAAAAAACAATTATACAAACCTGTATTTTGTGAATGAATGTTACTCCAATGCTGAACATGATTATCAACAAAACTCTCATTATGTCTAGGTGTCTGATCAGTATAACTATTCTGTAAATTAGTTTTTTTTGAACGAGCAGGAGAAGGAGAATTCTGTGGTTGACTGAACTCCTTCCTTAAAGACCACTGTTGACTAGGGTTCTGTGTAGTAGTTGTATCATTCTCTGAGGCTCCTCGAACGGTAGAAAGTTCGTGAAGCAGCTGTTCTTTGTGCTGTCGTTTCATTTTGAGAACACGAGTTAAACGCTCTTCCTCTTCTGTGGACATCTGTACAGTAGTAATTTATGGGAATTTTGTTTTAGCATGATAGTATTTTTACTTACAAGGATTAACTGTATTTGTATCTCTTCCTCGATTGAAAATCTGTTCAATATAAAACAGATGAGAGGAAAGAATAACTAAAAATCATAATTATAAGCATAAAAATACACTAAAAAAACTCACAAATTTCTAAATCTCAAAAGCTAATTGACAAGAAAGCACAGCAATTAAAACTATCATTACATTAAATAGGTAAAAAAAATTTAGCCAACTTGTAGAAGATGGTGAAATTTTACTGAGTAACTTACCTGACTAACAGAGGTAAGAGGGCACACATGAGCTAGATATTCTATAAGTTCTATATGTTCTCCTGGTCTAAAGTGGCGACCCTTACCTTGACTGAACAGCCATTCAGCCTTCAAGCTAAACATTTTAAAATCACAAATTAATATAAATGTAAGACATTTATACTAATAAAGAGCAATTTTTAAAAATAAAGGGAGAAAGGAATGAAAATACTTGATGAATTGTTTTTACAGTGCAACAAATAAATAACTTTCATATGTTGTTACAGCTTTTTAAAGTACATTTATATTTTTACCTTTTCATGACTTCACAATATGACTTATTGGTATTTTTTTAAAATAAACATACAGCTTTAGTATCATCATTACATTATTGTGTCATCAGGTTTCTGGTTAAGTGTTAATATCTGTTCAGTGATTAAAATATTACTTTTGATCCTCAAAATTTTTGTCTCACTAGATGGTCTATGATCATAAAAATTGTAGCTTGTTCACTTCTCACACATATCATTTTAAATGTCATCTGGCAAAATAAAAATTCTCACTTTTAGACTGTCATGTTCATTAATGAAAAAAAAAAACAGGAACATTAATTTTATCCCTACTTGTAGATAGGTAACTTTAACCACAATATTTCTTATTCAAAACAAAAATCATCAAAAGTAGAATACTGTGAACTTGAAAGTACTTAAAATTTTAATGCAAAAACAAATGTCTGAATACCATATGTTTTCTTGAAGTAAATAATTGATAATCTCTGTAGATAAAAAATAAAATGACAGATTTTTAGAAACAATACAATAACATAGAGAATGTATCATTTAATTTATAAATAAAATTAAGCTATATCAGGAAACAGTTATTGCTTTAAGATTACAATTTTATAGTAAGATGTAAATAAATAAACAATTCATTTTTGATACAATTCATTCCTTTAGTTTATACTGATATTTAAAACCCTTCACAAATAAAATGTTTACAACATTAATTTTGAGAACTTAGGTTAGGTTAGGTATGTAGGAAATCCAAGATAAATATTACACTTTCAAAGAAGAATAGTCAACTATTCAAAAGCACTTGAATTTCTGAGTCTCTTGAAATCTACTTGATTTTTCTGGTGGTTCTTCATGCTGGTTCTTTCATTTAATATGGCTAAAGTAAGTATTATGTATTCAAACTATATACCTGTTGTCTGAACTTTTATTAAATGTTGTCAGGCATTATAGGTGTGTCTGTGAGCAATATATGTGAGTTAACCACTTTAATGTTGAAGAAGAAGAATACTTGTATCAAAGAATATATTTTGATCATTAACCCCTCTTCAACATTTATGTTAATTTTCTCATTTAAAAGATATTTTAGAATATTACAATGAAATAAACTTACCTTTCCCTCTGCGTGACTACGTAATTATCAAGCACACGTACCCCTAAACACCAATTGACAACAAAAGGTCTATAATCAAATCCACTGAAATAGCGTTTAGGATGTTCTTTTCACTCATCATGATATATTATAAACAGAACTAATCTATCTATAAAATGTTATTCTACAGTACCAGGTAAGTAAGCTCATGTTAAAAACATGACATGATCACTACTCTAAAAGAGTATAAGTGGATAAGCAGTTTAGAAATACGATCCAATCTAACTTAGGAACAAAAATTCTGGACGGGAATAATTAGTATACAGAAATACTTGAAAAAAAGATTAGTCATTTGGCAATGTAGATTGGTTGTTTTCAGTTTTTTATTTCAAATTACTAAGCCTTAGATTTATGAATTTAGCTTACTTTAAAAAAACATTACAATATTCCTTTCTAAAGCTAAAGAATTGGAAAAAGTAGTGATGTATTAAAAAATCTCGAACAACCTCATGGGGAAGAAACCGAGAAGCCTATTTCTGATTAGTGCTTCTAACTGAACAAGTTAGGCTTTAGCAATTACAAGATGCTTCAAAACAATTTGGACTCACTAAAAAGGTAAATTAAGATATCTTTAAATTTAATTCTTTCGGTTTTAATCTGACAAAGGAATTAATAAAAGCTATAAATCAAAAATACATAATAAGCAGCTGTATTTGCACATGGAAATTTTAATGGTTAAGAGTAAACAGTGCAAATGCAAAGCTAATAAATTTGTATTACATTACTTTTGATCATTCAAACTGAGGAATACTTTTACATCACAAAGTATAATAAAGGTTATATAACTGTTTATTAAATTTAAAAACAATGAAATGTTTTGAAGTGCTTCAATCAGTATTATGGATTACAAAAGGATACACTGTCTGACCAGTCAACACAACGCAAGGATTATTATTTATAGTTAGACGTTCTAAAGAAGTGAGTGAAGACAAGTGAGATATCTGTAAATAAAGATAACAAAAGTTCCGTTACCACTTTTATGAAAAAATTTTAGTTGTTTTATGAACTATTACAAAACACAATATAGAGTAGTCAAACATTATAAACAGAAACATAGTATGGGTTTTGGATGTAGTTGACTTAATGAGTAAGGTCCGCCTCGATCGAGCCACTTTAAACCTAGTGGCACATCCATTATTTTACCCACTTTTATAATGTGTAGGATTAAGTTCCATATATATCTACATGGTTACAATCACCATCATGCCACAGTTCTCTCCCACTTGGATATACTCCTCTCTCTTCTACTACACATTTCACGGGTGGGTGAAGAGTATACCTGTTTCAGAAGTGGTATGATTCCCCTCCTCAGATCTTGGGATCTGACTCTCTCATTCCAAGGGTATTCTTTGTACACTTTTGGGGGTGGTACTTCTGTCATATTCTCGCACCGGTCCTGCCACCAACTCAGTGTGGGAATCTAGCTAATCTTGTGAGTGGAGGGAAGTACCATATCAGAAGTTATAACTTTCCTATACCGTAAATATGTATCTGATAGGTGCTTGCCTCTGCTTACACTTCTCACTTTTCTCCGGTGCTTACATCTTCTGCCAAACCTCGAAGTGAAAGTTTGGTAGAGGCATATAGTGGGAGCCACATGCATCATGTATGACACGCTCCTACTGACAGAGATATTGATACATGATGATTTACATGAGAGACAGGTTTGAATCATTCGATTCCAGTAGGGTGGGGGGAGCAAAAGGCTTGTGGCATGCGTAAAGAAAAATTTGCATATAGAGGCCAGCACTGGACAAGAATAGCTAATCCTGTGAGAAGAGGAAAGTACCATATCGGAAATAAGACATTATACTTTTACTGATGTACAGGGCTCAATTTATCCGAGGCATTTCAGACCTATGTTAGGTAAAGTTCATTCCTCAGATAGTGAACCTACTAAGTGTGAGGTCACTTTGTAATAATGTCTATAGTACAGGAAACTTGCTTTCTGTATAAAAAAAATGTCATATGCCAAGCAGTTTAGATAATATGGTAAATGAATGTATAAAGATGCATTGACAGCAGCCCCCCCCCCCCTAACTCCTTTGGTGATATATAAGTTTACAGGTCTTTTAAAAGAAAGAAAAAAACACAATATAACTTTGTGTTTATTACAATAAATAAGTTCTGTTGCATCTTATTTGATTGAGAGATTCCGTACATTTTACAAAATCAGAAAATTTAGGATTTTTCAATGATATATTTTTTTGGCATACTGGTACAAAACTTACAGTTATACTAATGCCAGTTTAACAATACAAAAACTCAGGTAAATTGAAAAGTGTGAAACTATCTTTTCTTTTATATCACAAATGGAAGATAACAGTATCCATTTTGTGAGCCAATGCCAGAACAAGAAAAGTTAACTGAACTTCCTTTGATATTCAGTTTTTTTTTTACATACAGCTAAACACCCTTGATTGATTACAAAAGCTTATATAAGCTGATTTAAGTTACAAGAAGCTCTGTAGTACTAGTTTTCCAAAATTACATTTGTCTGATTGAAGCATAAAATGTTCTATATTTCATACCATAATTAAAGTTATAATTTTCATTCATGAAATGTTTCAGATTTCATAAGAAAATTGATCACTTATACATGTATAAGTATAATTGTATAAGCATTCAAATGATTTACTCACTTCATTTAAGTCTGACAGATTATTATCTGCTAAAGACAAGATGCAAATGGATGGCGGTAGGTAAGAAGATGCCCCTTGTAGATTGAAAATATGATTTCCTCTTAGATGTAAAGTCTACCAGAAAGTAAAAAGGAGTTTTACATGTTTAAAAAATAACCAGGTTTAATTATTAATGTAGCTATCATCTTGACATGCACTTCTTTGTCCATAATATAATAAATTTTTACTCAAATATATCTTGTATCTAATATAATTTAAGATACTTGTTTTATAAAAAAACATGAGATACTCATCAATGAATGTAGACAATACAAAAGAATTAAGCCAAAATACTGGTATGCACAGGATGAAAAGATACAAGAGGGAATCCTTAATTGCCACAGCATGTGAAATTCTTTTAGGAAGGATTAGAGTAAGTTGATCTATAAGACCTTGGGCATGGTCAAATTCATCAATCCAAAGGGTTTGACCTCATGAGTTGATGAGTTGATCAAGAGATGATGGAGCTCTGAGCTAAAATTTGTACTTGTAAAAAAAAACAAAAATAAAGAGCCATTCTATGAGCTGCTCATCTGTGGCTAAAAAATATTTTGGAGCATTATAAATACATAATACAAAATACTAACAAAATTAGAATTTTATTCTTTTGTATTGTCTCCACACGTGTACTTCATAAATAAATTTATCATCATTACATTTAGTAGATTTAAAAGTTATGACTGAAGAATTTTTCCACGATTTTATGAATAAAGAGCCAAAGATATCTTAAATATTTGTCTTCTATCTTCATGATAAAATTATACAGGACATCTCAGAGTTTACATAAAATGCTTGAATGTTCACAAAAATTTCACACAGGAATAAATAACAAAATGTTTGCAACACTTTTCAACTACTATAAAATATCCATAGAGTTTTAATTGTTTTGTTCTTCTTACCTTCAGTTTTTCAAGATGTGACAAGTCTCCTAGGCTTTCAATGTTGTTGTCAGACAAGTCCAAATAAATGATATTTCTGTTGTGCTGAAGGTTTTGGATTAACTAAAAGAAAAATTTGAGAGCTTTCATACACATCATGAAAGACAAAGCTGTAAAAAGACAAAAAAAAATTCATGGATACACTTGAATCACCAAATGATTTTAGTTATTTCACAAACAGTGTTGTGGGTATGTAATCACATTAATTCTGAGAAGTCTAAAAAAACCTAACCAGAAATAATAATATCTTTCAAACATCTGGTTTGCACATTTGGAAGTAATAAGTTTCATTTATCTTGTTGCTAAAAATTTGTAAACAAAATTTATAATAATACATGTTCTGGGTGCAGATTTTATATTTTCGTACACATCTTTTTAATTTAGAATGAAGCTTTGAGACTATCCAGTTGTCCATCTAAATCTGGCACTTAGGTTTTCTTCACATTTTTGGTGGCATGAATTCTCTACAATGATGCTACACGCAAGCACATACTATAGCTGACTGATTAGTGGAACATGATAATCGATTATTCTCCCATCAGAATTGGACAGTTGAAATAATCAAAATCAGTAGTAATTAGAAACACTAATTTTGATAAGTTGATTACTTTCAAAACTCTCAATCCCAATAGATTAAGTTTAATAACCTTACATTAAGCAAAAATAATAACAAGAAATCATAATAGAAATATTTCAATTACTTGGATACTTAGGATAATAAGAAACACTAATTTCTAGTTTAGTTGATTTTTTTTTGTGTGACATTAATTTATCAGTTTACATGACACTAATTATGTAATTACTGCTCAGGTTATCAATTATATTTACTAACCAAGTTAATTGTCCAGTTCTAATTCATATATATATATATATATACGTGTGTGTATATACATACACAGACACACAGAACTTGATAGTGGCTTGGATTTTAGGAGCCACTGAACCTCCCATGGCTACATTTTTAGTCAGATTTTAAGGTCTTCTTCTTGTCTAATGTACACAAAAATCTTGAGTTAAATGAAACAGTGTATGTATTAAGAAATTACTTATCAACTGTTTTAAATATAAACATGCGCATACATCTGGATTATCAAAATGCTCAACTTTATGCAAGCATTAACATAATTGCCTACTTTTCTTGTATATAAATGCCTCTAATAAATGACACTTAGGGAACAGTATCAGGCAAGAGGCAAAGGTGTGGATAACAACACACAGTAACTGGCAATTGTTGAAACACAAGGGGTTATGACAAAACACCAGTTAAAGCTTAAGTAAAAAAAATATAGAAGGGTCATGACCTCAGACCACAGCAAAGTAATAACAAAGACAAGGAAGACAATAACTAATGTGAAGGTGGAACATAAGGTAGTCCACAAAGTAAAGCTACATAAGAGTTATTATGATATACAGGCAAATAAGATAGAAAGTCACATAACTGAGGTATGAGCAAAGTAAGCAGAAAAGGAGTTACCTGTTCCTCAACAGAGTGAAATGAGACATAAGCAAAGGCTGGAGATGGAAGAGCTGACCAAAACTGGCTCCACAGGAGGCAATGAAAGAATGAGAAATGACCTTAACTGGATAAGAAGAAGAAGGCAGAAGGGAACCACCCACCTAATGCACAATAGCAGTAACATTATATTTGAAAAACAACAGCTGTGAACATACCATGATTCACCACAGCCCTATAAAATTATGGTAATTTAATAAGTCCAATATAATCATAGTACCTCACCACTGATTAAATTCTGAGACCTGTCACACAACAGGCATTTGCTCTACCAAGAGAGCTAAAAGTATAACTACTGAACATTAGCTCCATAAAGAGATAAGGTGACTTTTTGGTTGCCACTGACATAGGTGGAGAAAATGCCTGAAGATGAATGGCCAAGCCTGGGGAATTATTTTTTTATGTGCAGTCATTGGTTGCAGTAGTACAATAATGAAATTGGTGTCTATAAAAAACACAGTTGCAATCAGATAAATAGAATGAAAATGCAAGAAGAACAAAACTAATGTACCACTAAATAAAGAAAGGCAGTAGATCTTAAAAACTAAAAACTCAAAAAAAGCACAGGAGAAAACACGTCTGAACACAGGCAGTGCCAAGGAAAGAATTAGCCCACGATCATGTACTAGTGCTCATAGGGAATACTATGCATGGAGGTTGTTTTGCCATCCTATTGGGAGAGGGCTACAGCATTATGATGATTATATCATAAGCTGTAACAATACATACTGAAATGTAGGGGTGTAGAGTGGGTAGGTCGCAACGGACCATACACAACAAGTCAACTACATCCAAAATCCATGCCGCTGGGAACCAACTTCCATGTGGGGGGTAGGAAAGAGGATCATACACTCTTCACCTCAAGTTCATGAGACCGAAGGGAATCTAGTACCCCCCCCCCCCCGACTCATGAATGGGGCTACATGAATATGATAAATTGATAGATCGATCTGGAAACCAACATCCAGTATCAAAAAGATGTCTACATAAAATAAATCATCTCCTTCAAAAGTGAAATTGACAGGAACCACTCCAAGTCCATTAACATACTCGGAATAAGAAACATTGAGGGTTATTGGAAGGGAAAGAACCATAACATCCCACAATTACCTCCACCGTGACCCACAACACTGATGGAGTATAAATGAGGGAGGAATATAGACATATGTAATATATGTATGAGGACTTATGTGGATTGGTCCTACTCTAAATCCAAAACATAGGGTAGGATGAGGGATACCAATCGAAGGGGTGAACTACAATTTTGACATCTCACTCCCATTTGTTTTAATGTTTCATATCGGAGGATATCATGTCATCGACAACCACCAGAACATCACTGCTCTATTCTCAATTGAATGGTTTTATAATCATTTCTTTTTTTTTGTATTTCATTAACCCATTCAGGAGGATGCCTCCATAGTCCACCACCCCAGTGGCTTGGAACTGGAAAATGGTAAAACGAGGTGGAGAGTCTGGAGGAACAACAACATCTGAAACAGTGCGATGGGTGACCATGGAACTCTATTTTTAAAAACAGACCATGCCGATTTATTCAATGCAAGGCAAGGCAACGATGGGCAGCTATCCCCTCTTGCTTTACCCATGTAGTCCATGGGTAAGTATGGTCCGGGACAGAGAAACTTATGAAGCAATTCTATCGTGAGGATAAACGTACAGGCGATCTTGTGGAACACCCAATCTCTGCAGTGTGCATTGCGTGACCATGGAATTATAATATACCAGTCAACATGGCTTGACAGTGCAGATTTGAACACATGCCTGATTGAAGAAGTAGCACCAAAGGATGAAGAAGGTGAAATGCCAATGAAAAGGTAAGGTGTCAAATTGGGTGAGAAGACACATGGAACAAGGAACAGGAGGAAGACAATAAAGAGGTAGAAGCCAATCAAATGAAGAGCCAAACCCAATTGTTGAAGGAAGAAGGAGAAAGAACATGAACAGAAGTTGGTTGCTAAGGAAGAAATATGCAGGAACAAACACCACAGAAGGAAGCCATACAGGCAATATAACATTGAAGATCACGTACAGGACATAGAAATCTATCTGGATCAGGACGAGGATAAAGGTGTGAAATAAAAGGAAGAGAAATCTGCTAAACAGAGGAGTTATCCTCACTAGCTGCGGAAGTGTTAGGGAGGAAAACCGATCCAGAGAAAGGAGAACATATGTAGAAGGATAAAGAGTACGTGAAACATCAATGGTAAAGAAACAGACCACTGACATACACAAGTGAATAAGCGAAGAAATAAAAACATAAGGGAAGGAAAAACAAGGAGCACTGAGAGAGTGGTTTGAACATAGGCAAAGTGAGGCAGTGCAACACTACATTAATATCCCCATCGGGAAGGACAGCCCACCATGGCAGATGACAAATTCAGAAGCAACACATCCACAGGTAAAGTGTAAAAGAGATAAATACCTGTGGGATCAGGATAAACAAAAGGTGTGGGACAGAACAGCCCTAAATTCCAAGACCAAGGAGACAGAAGACCCCTGATCCAAAAGTAAAGAGAGAAAATCTTAAGGACTGAACACGGAGTGTCAAGGATGAATGAAATCATTAGGTCTAGCTGATTCTGCATGAGGGGGTAGGGAAAAATGCAGTGGTGTAAAAATGCAATCAAATCCTTATTGACCCAAACAGGTTTGGCATGTTCAGGAGGGTTGTTTGGGCAAGTTCAAGAGAAGGTTGACCCATATAACGAATATTCTCACAATGGATAATAGCAGAGAAATACAACAACAGGTCAGTTTTTAACAGCTTACTACCTTAAAATTGTCTGTCAGTGATTATAGTAATTTTTTACTAAATAAAAAACCTGAAATTTTTTCCACCTTTTGTTTTAAACTATTTGCAACTGACTAGACTCACCTTGATTTTGTTACCTGCCAAGTCAAGCCATGTTAAGCTGTGAAGTTCCTTTAAACCTAAAAAATGTACACAGTAAGTATGTATCATAAGAATAAAATATTATTATTGTTTAAGAGGGTTCAGTTATTTTTGTGTAAATATGTTTTAAGATGAAGAACACTTTTTAAGCTGATTCAAAATACTATTTACTAAGAAACTCTTCAGAATTTGTATCTTTTCAAATGTAGGTACATACCAAATCAAAGCAACAATTAAGAAAGACTTTCATAGGTATGTACTTAGAAGATGAATTTTGAAGACCATAGACATACTAACCATAATTCATAACAATTAACCTTATGTCATAATATTGGATACTCTTATGAGTCACCAACTATACACTGTCAGATGACTGTGTCACTGCAAGTGATTTCTTGACAAATGACTTTTAGTGGGCTATTAAAAATGTATGCTGGGCTTGTATTTCAGCAAAAGTGTTCTTATTAAAGCATTTAATTTTTAATTTCTATACTCTTACTGTTGCTATCTAACTAAAATAGCTACACAATATGTTTCTGAAATATAAGTTTTTGGAATGACTAATGCAAAAAAGATGCAATATTAATGTCTGCAATTGTAACTTTTAATATATATAAAATAGGTAACCATAAGTTAATTAAATTTAAACTACACTTCAGCTTACATGATTTGTGTAATTAAACATCTGGTATACACACTTCAATGTTTCTACACTTTTAATATTATTAGTAATACTGGTTGTATTTAATGAACATATTTATTCAGTATGTTGTAAAATTCAAGTTCACAGATGTGCTAGTGATGGGCATTAGTAATTACTATAGTAGTCCTAACAATGGGTTCAAAATATAATTATATGCTATTGATTCAAAAACTGGTTGGTGACACACAGCACAATCGCAATGTTTTAACTTGGCCTTTAGAAAATGATTAAAAATGTTCATTATACTGCTCGTTCTGTTTGTGACGTGTGTTAAGAGTATAACCTCAGAATGAAAAATCAGTAAAAAACGTGCAAATTATAACCGATTTGGAAATGCATTACCAGTAACTTATGATTAAAGCGACCTAGAAAAATGTATACAGTAATTAATATAGATAATTTAATATACAATTCTTAGTTATAATTATTAGAATTCGTTCATTCATCATTTCAGCACCCTAGCTATTAGCAGTATTTTCAGCCATACTCCCAGTAATATCTCTCAAAGATTGGCCAGCTTATGAGATATAGGTTAGTCCTAAGTTCATGTACTAGGCTAACAATGCAAAATAATCTTCATAATAAGAACTTAAAAGTAAAAAATAAAATACGATTTATATATATTGAACATTTTAACCAATACTGTTAATGAATGTAACTTCAAAAAAGAGAATAGAACATAACTTACAAAACAGAACAATGACTAGTGACCAATGAAAAACTACTAAATGGATCTGTGTAACTTCACAGTAACTTAACATCTGAGGTAAATTACTATGACATATATTACTGTATTTAACTGAAGAGTAGGACAGTAGTGCAGTGCAGACAGAGGAGCAAAACTTTATATTTATGGAAATAAAATATAATTATATATATAATAAATTAATAGCAAAATCAATCAATAAATACTAAAAATATTATTACTCTAATTAACATAATCAAGTTAAATGCAATAAGAATAAAAATAATTTTCTAAGCATAGTATGAGCTGTGCAACACACAAGTAACCTGATTTTAACTATCCCCTACTTACAAGTTCACTTTACAGAGCGGGCAGTTGGAAGTAACAAACTTAAACCTTGAGAACTAGCCAAGATGTCTAAGTAAAGATATGATGTGAAAAAGTTTACAGTAACAATACAAATTAATTTCTGCATACAAAGTAAGAACAATGTGAATGTGAAATTCAAAATAACAGAAACTAATAAAACAAGTATGTAATATTATACTACATAAAGAACTGTTATATATCTTGAATTAACTTAAACTGCAAGTAAAACTAATGGTGGTCACCATCAATGTTCCCTCTAATTTTTTCAATCCATGTGCGGAATGAATTTTTTCATGTGCACCAGTATCAAGGCAATGTGTGGCTGTGATCTACCAGTTGTTTTTTTTTTTGGGTGGGTGGATATTTTTAGCCTATCAAGCCTATTGAATCATTAGGTCACCTTGCGATGTTACCAGTTGGTCATTTAGGCTTTAGGCCTATCGAATGCTAGGGTCATTAAGGCCATCAACGTGTTAAGAGTTCTCACCATTATTGAGGATGAGCGCAGCATTTGATTCGTTGTTGTGCAGCCACGCAGCTTAGAGGGGACACTGGTCACTACTAAATTTGCCAATTATTACCCTAACAAATTAGTTAATAAATAAAGGTGTAGATTTGATAGTTTTAAAATTAAATGTCATATTTGGTAAAATTGCTAATCCCATAATTGGTAACAAATGTAATTTAATTTACTTAATTAACTTAAGTTGTTGCAAAACTGCATAAAGCTGTTGTTAAAAATGCAACAAGAGAAATCTTGTTTGTAAAAAAATTAGTGTGAGTTTATGAATTTGGTCACTGAAATTTTGAACAAAATAGTTATATTGTATCAAACAAGCTGCGAGTAGTAAACATCATAGCATAATATATTTGGAAATGGAAAGTTTGTAACTTCAATACCATAGATGTTAACAATTAAATGCTGCACATGTTCTAAGTAACTGATAATTCATGCTCCTTATTAAAACAAATCAACTTTAGTATTGTAATGTAAGTGTTATCAAAACTTAAACACTGATATTCAAATATGACAGCTCCTCTTTTTCTAGCTTGTACATTACCTGTATTTACAAAACTAACATTACTTTTTGAAAAATTTCATTACCACTTTATTAAATACAGATAAATCTAATACATTTATATTAATATTTTGTTCTGAGTCACAGCCCATGTGTGCCTACTGAACCACAGACTGACATACTAACCACTTGGCCAAATCCAGCTCAACTTGGAAGTTTTAAAATTTCAACCATTTAAAAAAACAAACAATAATTATTCACTACAATCTCAGATTTAGCTTAGAGTGGAATACAAATATTTCAAAGTATGATAGTACATGGATGTAAAGTATTGAAATAAAATTCATTTCTTACCTTCAATTGAAATAATATTGTTATGGGAAAGACTCAAGCTGACAAGATAATGAAGCTTTGAAACACCATACATTCTACTGAGGCAGTTATTTTTTGCTGAAAGCTTTACAATGAAAGAAAATAATATTACACATTTTGAGTAAACAAAGAAAGACAACTTAAAGAAGAATGTTACCTATGAAAAATGCTAAAAGTAATACAAATTTTTTTGCTCATAAATAATATATTTTACAAATATTTGAAAATTAGTTTAACTTGGTACAGAAATTAGGTATTTTCTACCTGAATTAGTACTTTAAGTAACATTTGGGCTAAATGACCAGATGACAGTTTTGGGCTTACCCATCCCAATTTAGAACTACTCACTGGAAAGAGAGCATCCACAACCTAAATGGCTAACTTTAATCAAATTGTAGGACTGATTGTTACTTTTATAATGCATCCACAGCTGAAAGTTCAATGTTTCTTCATAACTATGTTGTTGGTTAAAACCTTCTGATCTGCAACCTGGTACACGAACCACTAGGCCACACTCATCCTAATTAAGTTTGTTTTTAAAGTATTAAAAAATGTTATCATTAAATTAAGTTTAAACTTAAGGTGTATGATGCCAAATATTGCAGTTTCTGTTAACAATTAAAACTACACATCATCTATGAAAACTTTTATGATCTTAATTTTCATCTCATAATTTGTGGGAGAACAAGCCTTAAAACTGTCCTGTATGATGCTAATTTATTAAGATTCAATTCCAGTACTTTAGTATTAGTGAACTGTGTTGATTAATATGTCCCGGCCCATGGATAACATATAAAACAAGTTGGTTAACAATGTAAAAAATATATTATAGTTAAACACAGAACTAACCAAAAAATTAATGACATAGGTTTAGTTTAATTTTCATGATTGAGTAATAAAACTAATAAAACTTTTGATTTTATTGTGTATGGTTTAGTAACTTTTCCAAACTGCCATATAAGCAGGATTGGGTGTTTTATAAATCTAAAAAATTAAACTGGTTAATTGACCATCACACTATGCTTAAACACCGTCAAATAGTACTTTATCTTTATGGCAAAAGAAATACAAACTGGCATTTAAATCTATTATTGTTTTGTCCACTTCCTAAGGGGTGTGAAATTAATATTGGCCACTGACCAGGACATAGAATTTAATGCTGAATTTTGCCCATCAGACAAGCAGTTTATTTTTTCCCACACTTTTGTTTTACTGCTAGAAAATAGCACTGTATGTATTTCTAGGGAGCCACCCAAGTTTTTTTTTAAATTCCGGACTGTGAAAATCTAATGCATAGGTACAAACATTTAAAAACACGCACCTCTAAATATCAAACCTAAAATATATACACATCACTTAAATTCAGAAACCTTAAGTCACACACACAGTAATGAATATATTTAAATCAAGACAACAATGTTATTAAATTGCTTTTGTCTACAATAGGATTACTGTAAAGTTTGATTGCCAGGTCTTGGAAGAATAAGTAACATAATAAAAATTAAAAACACTTTTAAATTGCTACACGTATATTAAACATAATTTCAGTTCAGAGTAGCTTTAATGTAACTATGATTCCTTTATCAGTTTGTGAGTGAGATATTCTACATTCTGTACTCTATAATCCTAATGGCTAAATGTTAAAAACTGAAAAAAACGTAAAATATATGAATGAATATAAATGTAAAGAGTTTGAATACAAAATGTGGTATACACAATTCCTGACAAAACTGGGCTACCAATGGTACTGTTTTGATTGTGTTCACTGTTAAATAAAAGCAAAAACCTAAATGTTTTACTTCACTATTTTTGTGTTTTGTGGAAAAGGAAGGACACAAATAGGTTTTTAAGAAAGACAAGTAGATCTTTAAAGCATTCTATCCCTCGGATAAAGAAGGTCTTTCCAAAGTATCCACAACTTTGCTTATTACTTAAATAAACTGTAAAGTATTTGAAGATGTTTTATTCTACATGATAAGCTATTCTTCAGTTCTACTTTTATTTAAAAACTGAATATATATACATGTATATTTTTTTTTACCAAACCTTCAAGTTCAACAATAAACACAACAAAACTGTAACTCTGTGTTTTTCCTCTAAATGTTCTAATTATTTTTTTTTTATTTTACTTGTACCAAAAAGTTCAAATTCAGTATATGTACATCTATAAGCATCACAAACATTAAATGGGTCAAGTGACAATAATTATGCTATGTATAAAAACAGATCTTTAGGAAACACGAACTTAAGATTCAACAGCCTTGTAACAATTGTGATAAAACTTGATTTGTTATTTTTTTATATATTCAATTTAGATTCACTTTTCTGAATCTTATTTACAACAGTAGGTATAAAAAAATTATTTTTAGTTCTTTGAATTTTTAAGGTGTAGAAAACCAAAAATTAGTGTCATTTAAGACAAAAACAGTACACATGGTTGGCCATGCTCTAACAATAAGTGTTTAGTATCACTAATCAAATCATATTAATACAATAATCACTTGAAAAACAGTTGCATTGAGTTTCTTTTTTGGTAATTTGGTAAAATAAATACAATGTCCAGGCCATTTGTTTTTAACATGATTTATTAATTTTTTGGTAATGTTCTACAGACTATTTTCACTAATTATCCTTACTGATGAATAAAACTAAAAATTTCCAAAATACAAGTATTGAATTCTTCCTCACAGGTTTTGGCCTTATGCTTTTTCCAGAGCTTGCCTTTTCCAAAATAAAGTTGTTCACCATTGAGATAACATTAGCTTTCATTCAGTTTAGCCCCAACCATAAAAGATTGGATAGCTGTTGTTGCAAATTTTAATGCAGTGGTTTTTAAAATCTTTGTGTAGTAGACGGGTAATTAATAATGAGTTTTTAACACTAGGGTCATTTTAACACACACTTTTTAAAGAAATAACACCCAAACAACTTTCTGTAGTTCATTAACAAATAACAGATCATTTACTGCTTTTATGGAGGAACATTTATTTCTTTTAATGAGGACCATTTTAACCCTTTCCACACGGGTCATGGGTCAAAGGCCATGATATATCGTTTGTTTACTCGCATTCAAAATTTTATTGAACTACCATTTCATGAATTTATGTCAATAAGTTTGGTATCAAGCTGTAGATTATAATTCAAATTTTAATATCATACATTACCCAATTTCTTAATTTAAAAGTAAATATTAAAACAACACAGTTAAACATCAATTTTTGTGTGTCATGTGGTATGTTGAATGCA